GGGGGACGGGGGGGCTGTTTAAAACAGAAACCATTAAGATACTGAAGATTCAGTTTCGATGTCAGATGTGGACTGAGTCATAGCGTCATTTCATAACTTGCTCATTAGTATGCAAATATAAATGAAATACCCGCTGTTATTTGGTAGTGTTATACTATAATGTCCCTTTACGAAATACAAATTAAGCCACAATTGATATATTATTTTCATAATAGGACTATACGTATACGGAAATACAGAATCCTATATAAGGATGAACACAAATTATGACTCTATGAAAATATTGGATAAGTAAGGATTAATTAGTGATTATAGGATAATACATAATGAGTCAGGATTAATATATTAGACTACATGAAGATACAGAATCAATCAGGGTTAGTATATTTAACATTTATGAAAATACAGAATCACTGAACTATGTGAACTATGTGAAAATACAGAATCAGTCAGGATTAAACCATGATACCATTATGAAAAGAATTATATAAGCTGTCAGATTAAAGCTAAGCTTTTAGGAAATTACTGAATCAGTCAGGGTTAATCTATGTGTATATGGGAAACATGGAATCACTCATGATTAAACCATGCGATTTGAAAATACAGAATTAATCATGATTAAAATATGTCAGTACGAAAAGATAGAATCAGGCACTATAAAACCACGACTGTATGAAATTACTGAGTACACTTCAAATTTTACTTTTACTTGTTCATCCTCTGTTGTCGTAAAGCGTCGAGGGGAGATGTAGTTTGTTTTCTATGGTAGGCCTGCTCCACAGCTCTTTCAGTTGGGATATTATGATTAAATTTCTCAGGGTTTCCATGACACCATCAATCCACCTTTTGCGTGGCCTTCCTCTTCCTTTATAGCCTAAATAAGTACTGAGTAGTAAGAAAGGACAAATAATCTATGCTTACAGGGAAACACAGAACCAGTCAAAATTAATAATAATAATAATAATAATAATAATAGTAATAATAATAATAATAATAATAATAATATATTATGTCATTTATATAGCCCTCAACCCTGATTAAAGTACACAGGCTCTGAGCGCTTTACAATACAGTACAATGCACTACAGTAACATAAAACGTTGTGTTACGAACGTACTACAGTAACATAAAACGTTGTGTTCTGACTCAGAATTAAAACCATGTCTGTATGGAAATGTTAAAAATACACCAGCATTCGACATTAATCACTAATACTCTTATTATTCTCTCTTTTTTCGGTGCAGGTATAATTTGGCCGTCAACTTCCTACGAGTGAGAAAGAGAGAGAGACTGGGCGCACTGTGGGAGGGCTGACGAACGTGTTGAGCAGATCACAACATAACACGATCCCAAAGAAGCAGCTAGATCTAGAAAATCTACTCCACATCCCGGCAGACCCAGCAGCTGGCTTTTCCACCCTACCCCCTGACTTTGTGATGATGAGAAATCCAGCCTCCAGACTCAGGTCTCATCCGTCATAAATTCCCTGCCTTCATGCTCCATCGCAATACAATTTCGCCTGAAATAATCTTTCTCGGTTTTTATAAAAATTTGTTATCAAGATTTCCTGCGCATGTTGCTGGGTGCTTCGTCGTGTCTTGAATTACAAGCACACAGACAGACACATAGATCTAGAGCTCTCCTTCTACTTGCTATTCGTCTTGGATACTCTTCAGAAGTGCTCAAATCTCGTGTCGTGTTCCGGAGATGTAGCTCTTGAAGTGCAGCTGGCTTTCCGATTACTTAAAAGAATTTTCTTCACGAAGACGACGAGAAGGAATATCATTTTATAACATTCATTCGTATATATAGATGTGAGGACCCACTCAAAAAAGGAGACAAGATATTTTTTGTTATCATCATTATTCCTTTTTTTTTCATTTGTATCGAAAATTTTGTGAGTTTCATAAAAATATAAGGTTATGGAGAGTGGCCCAGACTGGGCTGTGTTGAAAACGATGTCTCCATAATCCCAAAGATCGCAGTTGGGCTCCAAACAAGATCTTTCTAGAAATTGTGTTTCAATAAAAAGTTAAAACACAAGCGGAATTGGAACTAGTTTAACAAAAAAACAACTTTCATTCTACGTCTACGGCTGATTTTTCTTCAGGAATTTGTGCTTTATGAAGAACCAAAAACAAATGCGAAATTGGAACGAGTTTAGCAAAAACTTTCATCATTCTACATTGGAGACCGTGCGAGTTTTTCAACAACGAACGGCGTGAATCGCCCCCCCACACACACATACACAAACTCTATGACAGTCAGTGAGCAGCCATGGCGAAATGAAGTGGAGCCGGAGAGTCCAACATGATGGGACCTTTGCCTAGGATAACAAGGATGGCTTCCCCACCACCCCCACCCCCATCACCACCACATGGAGAGCGTTGGTGATTGATCTCCCTCCTCTCAGAGCTGTGTGAGCGAGCCTCGGTGTCAATATGGGAAACCTCCTGTCTCGTTTCAGGAACAAAGATGTCAGGATAATTCTTCTAGGTGAGTACTTTCCCATGTGTCCTTATTCTCACTGCGTTTCTTTCTTTTTTGTTTACCTTCACCCCCAACCCAAACCACAGGTACTGGATTTTTTAAGAGTTTACTTTATTTGGATCTATTTTAT